GTGCGTGTGTGCGTGTGTGTGTGTGTGTGTGTGTGTGTTGATTGTCCCAGAATGTGGCCTTAACCATAACATTTGCATGCAGATAAAATCACATGTACCTCATAACGAGGAAGTGGTTGTGTGTAATCACATAGTCCAATCAAAAACATCAATGAATTAACTTGCATCATGCCTTGCATCAGATACTTGATCAAAAATATCCTGTCGATGGATTTGGATAAATACTGAATGTAGTTATAGACAGAAAATGTAAACTTTTTCATGTTCCTTTAGACAGTTTTTGCAAGGTTTTTGACACATTGTTTTAGATTATCATTTTGATTAGGGCATTATTACTATACAATGCTTTTATTAATATCACATTACTGTATGTTACAACAGTTTGCGGGCAGTTTTTCTAAAAATTACTTTCTGGATTTCTTTTCCGAGTCTGTTTGGTACTACTTGAAATAATGGTCATGTCAGCAGTCTTAATGTACTGTGTTTGCATCAGAGCCAAAGAACACAGGAAATCCGCCTCACTCTGCAGAGCATGTCTCTTCAGAAACCTGCGGCTTTCTGCTCTAGCTTTAGAGGTAAAGACAAAGGTTAGTGTGAAGTTACTTCCCTGAAGCTTCACATACGTAGTTACGTTCACACTTTTACAAGAAGCTATTTTCCGAACCTTCCTGATGCTTTACACATTAGAATGACAACCAATATGGCCAAATAAATAAATAAAATTATATGCAAGGAGCTATTTATTATTGAGTTGGCCTTGCATTTTGTACTGATTATATAGGAAACAACCATTATTTTGTATTCATTCAAGCATTTGAATTGCATTACAAACATAAACAATAGACTGTGTATATACAGGACGGACACTTTCACAAAAAATTACCTTTGGGATATAACAGCCTGTCACTGGGCAGTATCCTCAAAGGGACAACTTTGTACCTTCTTTCTCCCCTAGTGTTTATAATAGTACCATAAGAGTACATATTGCTGCCTTAAGGATACAAATTACTACTCTAAGGTGCTAGTATGCACCCTTTAGGGGTAGAGAAGTTACAAAGGTGTCTCTTTGAGAGCACTAGTGACAAGCTGTTGTACCCCTAAAAGTACAATATTTGCTGACAGTGTAGATGAAAAATAGTGTTTAAACACAACCCCATAAATGTAATAAAATGTCTCTAAAAATCAAATCTAAAATTCCATGGTCCAAATATTATGCCATATTTGCCATATAATTGCATGATACATTAATATGCAATAGTATGCCACTATGAATGCAATAGTATGCCACTATGTAAATGGTTAATTTCTGCAAGCACACGTTTAATATAGCATAATTCAGTATACTGTGAGGCTACAGAAACACTGTTTGTCAATGATTTAAAACTAAAGTAAGAGTAGGCATGTATGTGACTGCAGTGACATACAGTATGTGTTATAGGGAGGGCTCTTGTGGTAAGCGGTAGCATTACAAAATACTTTTGAAAGAGATTTTGATCGTTTTATTTATTTGTTTATTTACATATTGATATACATCTTGATATGTGTATCAGTGCATTTGAAATAAGTAGTTTAGGCATAAAATGTAACAGACATTAGGAATACATAATATTCACAGACATTGATCCAGTAAAGAATACATTCAAAGTACAGTTCCTCTATATCAATACTGCACTCACACATCCTCTTTTAGCCCATGTGAGGGGACATTTTTTTTGTGCTTGGTTTTGCCTTCGAAGTGTGTGTGGTTAAGGATGTTTTTTTTCCTTTCTATTCCTGTGGTTAATAACTATTATACGGAAACAGTAATGAACTTTTTAGCAGGTCATGTAATGAGACCTTAGAGATATTGAGGAACAGATATATTAGTAACATTAAATCATTTGTAAATTCATTCAATTTAATGCATCAGTTAATTTTTAAGCCAGTGTGTAAAACACTAGTTTATTCATAAACACAAGAAGACAGAAAGCATCTGCCCCACCAACCTGAAGCAGGAATTTTCATATTCTTGTATGATTTCACATGCTTGTATGATTTTATCAATTACATTTGGTTTTACTAATTGAGGTAGTATAATTGATATGATATTACCATCATGAAATCAAGAAATCTATTATATGTTGCAACGCATGAATAAAGACATCTTAAATGATAAGCAAAATATTTACAAAAAAAACAAAAATGGTCGAACCTAAACTTGTGTACTTTTGATGGGAGATGTAAAAAAAATAGCCGTGTTGGACGTTTCATTCTCGGAAACTTTGGATTGCGTAGATGTCGATTGGTAAGTCTTCACACATCCAAGATATCTTGAAAACAAACTTACTAGGCATTTCCTAAACTTTTCTCCAACAAAAGCATAAATGACTGGATTTACACAGCAGTGAGTGAGTGCGATTGTCTCTGTCAAGTCCATGGCCATGTTGATATGACGATAAGCCTCGCAGCCACTTAGAAAGCCAAACTCCTCCAAGGTTTTCAGAAACACCACCACATTGTAGGGCACCCAGAAGACCACAAACACGATGACAATGCCTAAGATGAGCTTTATGGCCCGTTCCTTTTTTGAGTTTTTTGTCTTCTTCACAACCATTAGGACCCTGATGTAGCAGTAGGCTAAAATGGGCAAAGAGATGAATAGTCCCACTGCGTTTTCACCAAAGTTACGGAAAAGCTTCCACTTCTGGGCTGACCCAACAGGATAAACTCTCTGACAGCTGGTGATGTTGTCCTCTGTGACCATTGCTGCAAAGATGGCCTCTGGAAGGGCGGCACAGATGGAAACCAGCCATATAACTAGACTCACCACAATTCCATATCGCAGCATCTTCGCTCCCAGCACCGCAACGGCATGTACGATGACCAAATAGCGATCCACGCTCATCAGAGTCACGAATAAGATCCCGCTGTAAAATCCCACCTGGTATGTACCCGCCATTGCCTTACACATTTCATTGGTTTTTAAGTAGTGGCCCTGAGCATAGAGAGCCCAGGAGGGCAGTGAGAGGACCATCAGTAGGTCTGACAGAGCCAGATTCAGCAGGCAGAGGTTTGTCATATTTTTCACATGCATGATTTTCAAGAGGACCCATAAGACGGTGATGTTGCCAATGAGGCCAAGTGCAAAAACCATGTAGAAAATGGCAGCCTTGAGCTGTGGAATCAGCTGTGAGCCCTCAATATTGCATATGGTTTCTGTTTCGTAGCTACCATATGCTTCTGTATTCATGCTGTAACAAACAATAAATGTTGTTTAGTGACAGGGTAATTAATTGATTGCTTATATAAATATAGTTTATATAAAGATAGTTAAAACACAATAAATAAAACTAGTAACGTGCCACTTATATGGACCATAACCATGCGTTTGACTCATCATATAATGATTCTTCAAACTCTTTTTTCAAGCCACACTGATGTGCAATAATGTCATAATCGGTGTGAAAGATGTGTTCATTTGCAAATCATGGAGACTTCTACAGTATAATTCGGGAAATTGTGAGTCAGAAGGCACATGCCAATTTACTTACATAAATTAACCTTAATAATTTGTAGAGAGTAACTATGTTTCATTGCTTAATGGTTAGTGGCTGTACAGGAGACAAAGTTTCATTATGGTATAATTGTGGTATATATGGCAGGCAACGATACACTGATAGTACGGTAGCACTTAAACCTGATCAAGGGTGTTACAAGTGTGTCTAATAAAACAAATTCAAAAGGTATGCATTTAATAAATGCTTTTAGAATTTTGAATACAAAATTTGACAGGGACAACAATTTAAAGTCAAACCTCAAAGCTACCACATGCAGACCACATTGTTTTCAAATATCATAACGTACAAACAGAAGGAGGTCGCAGCAAGTTGATTAACCACAGGTTTTTCAAGCATCCCACCACAATCCCACTATCATACATCAATGATCTCTTGTAATACTTTTGTGAATTTCAGTACTTGCACAGTACAATCAAGATGTCCTACAATACTCCTAATGCTGAGTAGATCAGACATACAATCACTTGTACAGTATGTGATATAATAACTGGTTAAAAAACATTGAATGTAATATATTGGGCTTTTCTTAAGGAACAAGGTTACGTTCTTGAGCCAATCTTCATAATTTATCAAAATGTTTTAATGATGGATCAAAACACAACATGATGAAAATACAATAAATAAAAATCATGTTTACCTGTCTGTATATGTTTCAGTCATGATGAGAAATTGCTGTCACTCTTGTTGCTGAGATGATGTTAAGATGTGGCTCATGTGTTCATGGAAGTGAGTCTAGTACATTTCACTCTCTTTCTGTACATTTGCCTTCAGCAAATTTCCTGTAAAATGAGGCATGTGCATGTGTGAGAGTGCTTTTTTGCAAAATTTATCTTGCGATGTGAAGGTGAAATGTGAACACATTTCCTGTCACCGCACTGAGGTTAGCAGGTTTGGATGCACAAAAGAAATTCCCGTGGAGCAGATAAAACAATAAATATGAGTCATTTGAGGCTGTGACAGCTACTGAATGAACGCTAATAAGTCCCCCCACCCACAGCGAATGTCTTGAAAAGGACATTTTATATACGTAGATAGCCTAATGTTCAAAACAAATGCCATCCCACACCAATGAATGATAAGCCTGTAATGCTGAAAAAACAACATTTGTGCTCTTTTCTGCTTTAACAGTGAGTCAGTTTTCAGGAATTGAAAAAAATAAAGAACAAGTCTTGGGAAATTAATTATAGGTTTCAAGGCTTTGTCCCTTTTTCTGACTTGTCGTGGTATTTATAGGCTACTTCACTTCTTATATGCAAACCTTTCAGTATTTTCAAAAATCTCAACTATCAAACAGCTTGAATAAAATAAAGAAATAAATTAAATTGTTATTATACCATGGGCTGTATGAATACTTGGCTAGCAGGTAGGCATTCAAACTGTTTAATGCACAGGTGGTTCCAAGCCAGTTTAATCATCATTCTATATTAATGCGCTGCTTTAATTGATGAACACAAACACACACATCACTTGCACACAAACACAGTAAACTGTTTAGGTGGTTCCAAGCCAGTTTAATCATCATTCTATATTAATGCGCTGCTTTAATTGATGAACGATGAACACGCCTGTGGAAACCCAGCTAAAGCATTTTTTTTAAAACAGTGGATGAGTAATTCACTCCTTGATTTGCTTAATAAAGGCCTCCTTTGAGATTGTTTTGACAGACATGTTTATTGTGTATTATTTTCAACGTGTTTATTTCTGAGTTTAGTGTGGCAAAATAGAAGCACAGCTGTAATTCGCGTGTAGTGTATCTGGTTGCCATGACAACCTCAAGCGCTTCCTGCTGCTGCTCTATGTAATCAGAGTGTGAATTTGTAGATTTTCTATAGCAAAACTAAAATGTGTTTAAAAGTGCGACTGACCAAATCATCTGGTGTTCTGACGATTTGTGCTACCCTGTCAGATTTTGCTACCTCTCATTAAAACAGATGGTAGCATAATTCGATAGCGAAAAGTGCTTCCTATCAGATTTTGCTTCCAGCATGATATTAATAAGGTGTGAGGCTTTATTAACATGTACACCTACCCCAACCCTAAACCTACCCTTACAGTAGGATAAATACAGTGTTGGTAGCATAATCTGATAGGTAGCATTATTTGTCAGAACACTGGCTCGGTTTGCCCCCCCTCGAACTCAAAGACATCTCTAACTTGACAGTTTACCATCTGATCTCACTTACTCTAGGCTACGTAGGACGGGACGAAACCATGCAGTGAATGGGGGAGATAATTTAGCTGGAAATGCAGAAATAAGACGTAATTTTGTTTTATTTGTAACTCTTTGGTAGATACATTCTATTACATTATAATTTCTATTACATTACTACTACTACTGTTACTACTACTGATGAAAATTCATATTTGAAAAAGGAGTAAGTATTAGCATTTTATTTTTAACTTTACTATAAAATAATTGCATTTTTACTTAATACTCTCCTTTTTATTTTAAAACATAATAGTATTATCACACTTTATTATTTTGTTTATTATTTTATTTTTAAAAAACTAAAGTACAATAATATTATTATCACTATTATCATATTTTAGATCCCTTAATCCACCCCATACACTCAAAAAATTATTTTACAATACTGTTCACTTCATTTAAATAATTCATTTTAATTTAACACCATTGTATTAGATTTCTCATTCAAACACAGTTGCATTGTGGTAAACTGACTTGAAACAGTTATGCTTTGGTACAACTAAATGTTTTCAGTTTGAAAGAACATGTGTCAATTAAGTAGGTCAAATAGCATTTGGTGCTTGTTCAGTTTACTTAAATCAAGTTACATCCAAAATAAAAGTTTTTGTTTAAATAATATGTGTGTACTGTGTATATTTACTATGTATATACACACACATGTATATATTTCAGAAAAATGTTGTTTATATATTATATATATGTATATATAATATAAATTATATGAATATAAATATATACATGTACATATTTTCAAAATATATACTGTATGTGTGTGTATTTATATATACATAATAAATATACACAGCACACACACATATATTATGTAAACAAAAAGTTTTATTTTGGATGCGATTAATTGCGATTAATAGTTTGACAGCACTAATAAAGTGCTTTCCCCTTCCTGTTTTTTTTTTGTTTTTTTTTGCATATTTGTCACTTAAAAGACTCAGATCATCAAACAAATTTTAATATTACACAATGATAATGCAAGTAAACACAAAATGCAGTTTTTAAATTATGATTTCATTTATTAAGGGAAAAAAGCTGTCCAAACCAACCTCCCAGCTAACAAATGTATGTTCTGTTTTGGTTGTGGGAACGTTATTTTGAATGCTCCAAAAACGTGGAAATGTCCAGTTTGCTTGACGTTCCTAGAATGTTATTTTATGGTTAGCATAACGTTCCTACAACGTTCTTGAAACCTAAATTTCATTAAAAATATAATGTTCTATGAATGTTTATTTGGAACATTCCAAGAACGTTAAAATCTCCAGTTTGCTTAACATTGCTAGAACATGATTTTAAGGTTAGCATAACGTTCCTGCAACGTTCTTGCAAACTAATTTTATTAAAAATACAACATTCTAAAAATATTTATTTGAACATTACAAAGTTTAGTTTAATAAAATGTTATTTTCAGATTAGCAGTGTTGCAACATTCTCTTTCAACATCATTTTTATTAACACAACTTTCCAGATACGAGCAAGTATATAATTACATGTGCATTTCAACAGGTATCTGAATTATTAAAGATAATCACTTTCAAAAATCTCATTAACACATTGAACAAACTGGTGGAAATTGCATATCATGTAAACAAATTTAAGTCCCCCTGTAGTCAAATATTTTATCCCTTAAAACTTATATTTGATCATCAAAATGACATTTAAATGTTTTTTCTTGTGAAAATAATTTTCTCATGCCTTAAAATAGCTTGAATGTAACTCTACACCCTTGCCTCATTTACTATACACTGATCTATGAACAGGCAAATTAGTCCCGCCGCCACTCAGTCACATCAGCTAGCGCCTCCTGATCCACTGAACTGTAGTAACCGCAAAACAATGGCATACACGGATAATGACTGATAAAACTATGTTTTTACTAGCGGACAACTACAGTGAATACTGTAACATTCGTTAAAGTTACTTACTTGACGATGTTGTGTCCTAAAATGCCTTGAAGACTCGAATACAGACGTTTGTGATTCTTAGTCGTGAGCATACGCGTGTGAAGTGCAGACGCCTATGTGGGAGAGGTGGGTCTGACTCTGGGCTACTTTTACACGGTTGCCATGGGTTATAATGCAAGTTAGCGGTTCTAAATTCACATTAAACCACAGCTTCATGGGGTTTTTTTTGCTCTAATTTTTGGTTTTGTGCTGGTATTGGTATATTTTGCATGCTAGTGATAGGAATCGATTCCTTGATGTGATTGGTTATTGGATTGTGACGTAGCAAACCGAGGGCTGTTTCAAACTGCATTTCTGGGACTGCCATTAGGAAACTACAGTTTTAAGAAGAAAATACTCAGCAATGGTGTTGATTAATGGATTGGAACATGGTTTGTCTGACAGCATATTAAAAACCACATAGACAAACAACATAAAAAACTTGATTTTCACTACAGGGGGAGTTTAATATTTAGTTGAATATTTATGACAATAAACTATAACTTCACAGCTAAATATAAACTATCATATTAACATTTAATCATTGAGAACTTCTATATGAATTTGTGTGTGGGGTGTGGGTGCTGAAAAACTAGCACTATGGGAACTGTCCGGTCTCTCCATGCTCCATCTGTAAAGTAAACAGATTGGCTGATGTTACAAACGGTTATTACAAAATGCCTATGAAATAATTAGTGTGGCTATGCCAAAACATTTATTAGGATCTGTGCTGTGAGTTCTACAAATATTACATTACTCAAGAGTCAAAGGTAGTTCACAAAAGTTATACAATAGGATGGTTCAAGAATACACTGTAAAAGGAGTACACCTGAAAATGAAAACTTAGAAAATAAGGTAAATGCTGTATCAAAATGCTGTAGATGCCAAACTCATTTGACTTGGCATATGCTACTTTCATTGACAAGCTACTTTCATTGCCGCATTAAGAAAAACGTCATTTGACAATGACATTTGAAACATGAAAAATCCCTTCAAATATAGTTAACATTTAGAAGTTATCAATAAAGTTATTAAATGGCAAAAGTTGCCTTGTTACATGTTATTAGCTGATAAACTGTCACATGACCTCAGGCAGGGAAGGAAACTCAGAGATAAAACAGGTAAGATTAATAGGTAAGTTATAGTAGGTGTTTCTGGGTAGGGATGCTGACATTGACCCATTAACTGACAGTAAGAATTTTCACAATTAACACATCAGATAAATTGTTAAAGAATAATTTATAATGTTTTTATTTTAAAAAATTGCTGCATGGATTTAAAAAAACGGCATTGTCAAAATGGCATTGAGAGGGGAAAACACAAGTTACACATAAGTTGTTAGTTAATCCTTTAAATTTTACCAGTATTCAGAAAGAAGATAAATAACAGAAAATATAAGTAGCTATAAAACTACAATACAAAGCTATTAACACAATTACAAATTAAAACAAATTATAATGGCACTTACTATAAATTACAAATAAATGTCTAACCAAAATGAATTTACTTAAAACGAACATAAAATGAAACGTACATTTCTCATTGAGCACAAATACAAATGTTTTCATATTTGCAATGCAACATTAGTTTGCTAAACTATTATTTATTATGTAAGCAAGGCTTAATAGTA